GGATATTTTTGCATTTATCTTCAGATAGAACGGGAGGGAGAAAGGGAGGAAGAGAGAGAGAAACATCGATGTGAGAGAGACACAGCGAGTGGTTACCACCCACATGACCCCGGTTCCCAACTGGGACTGGGGACACACTGCAACCGAGGTACGTGCCCTTAGCGGGAACCGAACCCCGGACTCTCTGGTCCACGGGCCGACGCTCTAACCGCTGAGCCAAACAGGCCAGGGCTCTCTTTAATTTATTTAATTCATTATTAATAGTATAATGAACTCTTATATATCCACCGCCCCACCCAGGAATGAAAACATTACCTAAAACTTATATATCCCTGGGCTTCTCTCCCACGCCATCTACCCCTGTTCAAGATGGGAAGGACAGCTCTTCTGATCTTTGTGTTTATCTTTCCTTTTCTGGTGTGTTTGGTAGGACCTGGTTTGGTAGGATTTGCCCATTCTGGATATTTTCTGCAAGTGGAACCATACAATGTGTGGCCTTTTGCAACTGGCCTCTGCTACTTAGCATAATGTCTTTAGGGTTCGTCCTTTTCACGGCTGCGTGATATTCTCTTACATGGCCACACCTTTTGTTTATCCGTGCATCCACTGACAGACGTTGGGGCTATTTCCACTTTTTGGCTATCGTGACTAATGCTGTTACGAGGCTCCAAGTACACGTTTTTGTGTGGACTCGTGTTTCTCGGTTCTTTCCATCCCCTGGAGTGGAGTGCTACTTGGACTTTCCCTTTGAAGAGCTGCCAGATGTTGTCCAAAGCTGCGTTTACCTTCCCACCATGAGAACCCTGCAATCCGCTTGACCTCGGCTTCATCCCCTGCTCCTTAGACTTCCGAGATGGGAGGGCCCGGGCGTGTGAAGGCTACGGCGGCCTCCACTCACCGCTTCCCGGTGATACCGTCACGCGTGGCAATGGCCCTGCACACTCCGATGGTCTGAGATGCGCACCTGGGTCTTTGGGTGACTTGTCTTCCTTGCTGAGGGGACAATGCGGCCTTGGTGCTTCCAGCCTAGGAGGAGGCGTCTGGGGATGACGCTCAGCTGGTGGGCGTCCTGCAGGGAGCCTGCTCACCTGCAGTTTCCAGAGAATTCTTGTTATGTAGTTAGTTGCCCCGGGGCTTGGTTCTGCCTGGGCCTCATCAGCCTTTATCATGGACCCTGGGCCTCCGGGGAGGGAGCTGGCATTGGCTCTATGGGTGTCTGGGGTGTGAGGCTGGGGTGACATCTGTCCAGGTTGGCAGAGCTGCCAGTGGGCGCAGGCTGCTTCTTCCTGCGTGCCCGGCTGGATGACAGGGAGATGCCCGGCTCTGCTCTGGAGGGGCCTAGGGAGCAGAGACGGCTTCTGAATACGCTGGCTTTGCCCTTTGTGACTCAGTAAGTGGCTCTGCTGTCGCTAGACCGGCTGCCTTGGTGAGTCAGGGTTTGTTTGTGCATCATCTGGATGTGATGAGTGAGGTAATTTTGGCAGGTCGGGGGGCGGGGGGCGGGGAGTGGGGATCTAATCCCAGAGGAGTCCCTCTGAGATTGGATGGAGGAAGGGCTGGTTCATTTTAGTCTAAGGGAATGTTTCGGGGAGGAATAGGGGAGAGATGGAGGCAGGGGAACCATCCCATGAGATCTTTGCCAGGTAACTAATGACCCTGCCTGGCTGTGTCAGGTGTATTTACCTGGTGTTCTTACACCCAACCACTGGGCACCTCATACCCATGGATGTTCATTCATTCAGCGACTATTTATTCAGTCTCTACTACGCTTCTGGAGCTTTCTGGGCTTCAGCAATACAGCTAAGAGCAAAACAGACAGACAGTTGTCCTTGTGGAGCTCAGAGGCTGGTGGGGTGGAGGGCTAATGCTTACATCTTGGCTGGACAGGGCATGGCAGGCTGAGAGCATGTAGGAGGATGGCTTCAGATAGGGGCTCCGGAACACCTTCCAGGGCAGGTGGGGTCTGAAGGATGAGTGGGGTTGGGGGTTGGGGAGGAGAGCGTTTCTGGCAGAGCGCACAGCAGGTGCAAAACCCTGAGCGCCACATTCTAGGACCCAAAGGACAGCCAGGAGGTGGAGAGCAGAGGGAGTGTGGGAGCGGAGCTGGAGAGGGGGAGGGCCAGTCTGCTCAGGGTCTTACAGTCTGTGCAGCACCTGGCCCCGGCTTCTCTTCCTAAGAGCAGTGGCCAGGCGTCGGAGGTTTTAAGCTTAGAAGCGACATGGTCAGATTTGCGTTTGAAATGACCACTCTGGATTGGGTAAGATTGCTCATGGACCTCAGTTTGCAGCTTCAGATAGTTAGGCAGTCGACTCAAAGGTAAAAATAAATATCCATTCCTTTTGTGCAGAGTTGCTAGATTTCTCCTGTAATCCAATGTGCTTAAGAAGATTCATCGAATGGAGTTGTGTTTCTGTTTTTGTTTTTTTTAAGAGAGAGAGGTAGAAACATCTATGTGAGAAACATCAATCAGCTGCCTCCTGCACGCCCCCTACTGGGGAATGAGCCCAAAACCTGGGCATGTGCCCTGACTGGGAATCAAACCAGGACCTCTCAGTCCTTGGGACGATGCTCAATCCACTGAGCCACACTGGCCAGGCTGTGTTTCAGGTTTTAAAGGAGAATGGAGCATGCCTGGCCAGTGTGGCTCAGTGGCTGAGCTTGGACCCCGCACCAAGAGGTCGCCAGTTCAATTCCCAGTCAGGGCACATGCCCAGGCTGTGGGCCAGATCCCCATTGGGGGGCATGCAAGAGGTGGCCAATCGATGTTCTCTCTCATTGATGTTTCTCTCTCTCCCTCTCCCTTCCTCTCTCTCTAAAAATCAATAAAGAAAAAAAATAAATAGATAAAGGAGAATGGGGCCACACAAGTGAGACCAGGGTCAACTTTGGGGGCTGGTGAAAATGCATCTGTGGACACTGGGTGAACTCGATAGCAGGGGCAGACACGGAGTCGAGGAACGTGGTGCTGAGGTGGGGTCCCCAGAGGGGCCAGGGCACAGTCAAGTCCTTCTGATGTGTCCTTGAGCCTCTGAAGGTCACTCTGGCCTTGACCTTCCGGTGCAGTCTGAGAAGCATGTTCTGTCCTGGGTGCCAGGGGAGCAGAGCCTTCTTCCTGCGTGCCCAGAGCTGCTGCCCTAGCTAAGCCTTCCGCACACTGTCCCTGGCTGAGAAGGTCCGCACGGGGGCCAGAGGTCCAGAGCTTCCCAGAGTGTGGTCTGTGGAACCCGCACTAGCACTCTCTCAGGGATAATAGTTTAAAACCTGCAGACTCCTGCCCAGCTGGTGTGGCTCAGTAGTTGAGCATTGACCCATGCACCAAGAGGTTGCTGGTTCGATTCCCGGTCAGGGCACATGCCCAGCTTGTGGGCCTGATTCCCAGTGGGGGCATGCAGGAGGCAGTCAATTGATGCTCTCTCTCATTGATGTTTCTCTCTTTCGCTCCCTCTTCTTTCCTCTCTCTAAAATCAATAAAGAAAAAAATATTTAAAAAAAACACCCCTGCAGACCCCTGGGTCTCACCTCAGACCCGCTGAGTTGACTGCTTTGGGAGGGGGCAGTGCCAGGGCCTCAGCTCTAGGCAAGGGGCCTCTTAGGCCACTGTATTGACTTCCTGTGGTCGCTGTAGCAGACGACCACCGACCTGGTGGCTCAAAACAGCACAAACATATTCTGGAGGCTGGAAATGCACACTCAGTTTCTCTGGGCCGAAGCCAAGGTGACACCTCCTCTAGTTCCGGTGCTGCTGGCCCTCCCTGGCCCGTGGCTGCATCGCTCGTCTGGGTCTGGACCCAAGCCTTTCGCCCTCTGCTCTCTCATCAGATCTCCCTGTGCCTCTGTCTCGGGAGGACATTTGCGATGCATTTAGGGCCATGACCACCTCCCTATTTCAAGACCCTTACCGTAATTGTATCTGCAAAGACCCTTACGGTAACTGTATCTGCAAAGACCCCTTCCGTAACTGTATCTGCAAAGACCCCTTCCGTAACTGTATCTGCAAAGATCCTTTTCCCAAGTAGAGCATTATTTACAGGTTCCAGAGATTAGGACTCATTATCTCTGGGGAACCATTTTGCAGCTTGCCATACACTGAAGTTCAAAAATCACCGCCGTAGTCCACATTCTTAGGGTAGACCAGGCCTAGGAGACCGGGGCCCCGAGAGAGGAGCCCGTCATTCACTTCTGAGATTGGAACCCAGAGCCCTGACTCCAGGCCTTCTCTTTCTGGTCCCGGTTCTAGGACCAAGGAGAACGGGCATGTGCCGAGGGCGTCCTATGCACTAGTCTGAGCAATGACGCGGCCTGGCTCGTCACTCTTCCAGACACCCTTAGGAGGCAGCTCCGACTATTATCTCCACCTTGCAGATGAGAAAATTAAGGGGAAGAGACGTAAACAATGCGCTGAAGGTCACAGAGCTAATTACTGGTGGGGCTGGGAAGACACCCAGGCAGAGGCGAAGGCTTCATGCAGAGTTGGAATGATGTCCAGCCCGGCTCACTCTGATCCCCTCTGTGAGTCGCTCCTTTCTGACATTTTTATCCATCTATCAAATACGGAGCCCCGCTTTTCTGGCGAGAAAGGAGACCCACCGAACCCCGTGCCCTCGTCTTGCTCAGAGCCCTGGTGGACTCTAACCTCAAGCTGCAAAGCAGTTTCCGGTCTCAGCCCAGGGGCTGGAGGCAAACAGGCCTTGCAGAGAGGTGGGGACGTCTGAGATCCTAATGAATCCCGGGTTGGTGACCTGGGAAGGGCCTTGGAAGGTTCCCAGCCTCCACAGCGCCTGCTGAAAGGCAGACAGGGAAGGTGGGGCATAGTCATTGGCACCTTGGTACACATTTGCTCCTGGCCATGACTCACTTCCCTCGGGAGCAGGGCCTCGGGTGAGGTGTTTACCAGCTCCACCTCCCCTCCGAGCTGCCTTATAGCTCCCTCCCGGCGGGGCAGACACAGAGAGCACAGAGCAGTCCTCCCTCCTGCACCTCACGGAGCCCACCCACGGCCATGGCAGCCCTGGCGGCCGCGGTCTCCAAGCAGCGGGCAGCAGCTGAAGGTCTGGGCTCCAACCAGAAAGCTGTGAAGTACTTGGGCCAGGACTTCGAGACCCTCAGGCAGCAGTGTTTGGACTCAGGGGTTCTGTTTAAGGACCCAGAGTTCCCAGCGAGCCCATCAGCCTTGGGCTACAAGGACCTTGGACCATACTCTCCCCAGACTCAAGGCATTGTCTGGAGGCGGCCCCCGGTAAGGAGTGGGCTTCAGGATGGAGGGCCCTCGCTTCTTCAGAAGTAGCGGAGGGAGAAGGCATGGCTCTGGAGCCTAAATTCCTAGGCCCCCAATTCCTAAACACCTCTCTCCCTTTAAACATCTTTGTCAGAGGTGGTGAAGTTAGAGGGAAGAACACGCGTGGTCTTTGGGACCAGACTGGTCAGATATGAATCCTGGCTCTGCCTGTGTGGTCTTGGGCAGATAACCTCTGTGAGCCTCAGTTTTGTCATCTGTAAAATGGTGCTCCTGGCACCTTGTTCTTCAGGGTTGGTATGAGGAGTAGAGATGAAGCTCAGAGCATAGTGCCTGTCCCATCGCAGGCACAGACTGCACGGTGGTCATTGCTAGGACCCCTGGGCCGAAGCACAGATGAACAAGTCAACCGTTGCTAGACGTAGCCATTGATGAGGGGTAAATGGTGACATCACTGCTGAAAGGTGCCGGGTTGCTTAAGGTCAGGACTGTGTCATTGTTCCATCAGGGCTGGGGAGTGGAGAGGTGGGGGTTGTGGGGCTTGAATGCAGATGGGACTCAGGGGCTCCTGGATGCTGCCACCGGTACGACCTCCCAACTCGAAGGCAGAGAATGGAGAACCATCCTCCCAGAACCCATGCCCACGGCCTACAGCTCTGTGACCCTCGCGGAGTGATTTAACCGCAGGCGTAGGAGGCCGCTCCGCAGAGTGGCTGTGGAATTGAGGCTCTGTTCCTGTGGCGACCACGTCACAGGCCTCCTAAGAAAGCACGTGCAGTGGCTTTGGGCCGGGGAGCCTTTGTCTTCTAGACCATGACGGGAAAAGCAAGTCATGGTACCTATTATCTTGGTCATGGTTGACCAAGGAGGATAAACAGATAATTCTCTGGATGGTCAAACCATCACTTAACTCCTTACTACCTCTACTCCTTCATGTTCATTCGGTCAGTTTTGCCCACAGTGTCTGCCTCCCTCCTGCCCACTCAGGTCCATCTTCCTGCCCCTCTTGAAACGTGGCATTTTTCTGGGATGTTGGCAAACTCAAGGTTGGGGATCATGGTTTTGTATTCTAATCTCAAGAGCTGACAGAGACATGTCATTTCAATGAACAGTTTTTTAAGCCTCTGTTTTTTTTTTTTTTTCATTTTTCTTTATTGATTTCAGAGGGAGAGGAAGGGAAAGAGATAGAAACATCGATGAGAGAGAACATCGATTGGCCGCCTCCTGCGTGCCCCCCACTGGGGATTCGGCCCACAAGCTGGGCATGTGCCCTGACCGGGAATTGAACCGGTGACCTCTTGGTGCAGGGGTCGGCGCTCAACCTCTGAGCCACACCGGCTGGGCTAGGCCTCTGTTTTTGGGCCCAGTACTGGTTGTGCACTGTTGGGGAGGTGTTTGGGGCGGGTTAACTAGGCAGACATTCGAGCTGGGGTGGTGGAGGAAGATCACGACAGACGAACGGCGCAGGTGTGAGCAGAGGCCTGCGCCGTGGAAGTGGGCTCAGAGCAGGACACCCGGAGAAGGGCAGTCGTAGTCCCTGCAACTGGAGAACAGTGAACACGTGGGAAACAGAGACGAGGCCGAAAATGTCAAACGGGGCTAGACCCGAGGGGGACGGGTGCCGGGCTGTGTGTGGCCACGCCGACGGGGATGTTGACAAAGACGGTGGCATCTCTGGGTTTCCTGAATGTGCACAGCCAGAGCCCTGGAAATGCCAAACATGACTGTCAGCTACGGTCTAATGCCCTGGGAGCAATGTTTCCAAGTTGCCACTGTCACTGAGAATATGCAGTGGAAGTCCCTCCGGCCTGGGATGCCTTGCTGGTGCCCATGTCTCCCTGGGACCGATTCATCAGAGGCTGATACGAGCAAGGCTTGAGCGATTGTGCTATGGAGTGTGTTGAGATCCTTACCTGAATAACACTCAGCATTACTACTGAAAAGCTACGACTCCCTGCTGGTGTGGCTCAGTGGCTGAGCATCGACCCATGCACCAAGAGGTCGCCGGTTCTATTCCCGGTCAGGGCACATGCCCAGGTTGTGGGCCTGATCCCCAGTGGGGGACATGCAGGAGGCGGCCAGTCGATGTTCTCTCTCATTGATGTTTCTACCTCTCTCTTCCTCTCCCTTCCTCTCTCTCTAAAATCAATAAAGAAAAAAAAAAGATATGACTGTTATTCAGGAAGAAAAAGATAGTGTCCCCAGTGGGGGTGGGGGTGGGGCTGCTGACCTCTTTCCAATCACTCTGTGTGTCTGATCTGAGTGCCAGTAGAAAGTTAGCCATGGAGAGAAGACTTCGGGAATGTTCTTCAGGCATGTGCTGAGATACCACCTCCTTACACATCCGAGGACATCCTGGGGCCCCTGAAAGAGTCATAACGTATTAGTCACGGTGTTTCCTGGTTGTTTCTTCCCCTGGGGGGGCATTTTGAATTATGCTCAGAAAAACATGTAGTAAAAGGAACGTTCCGTCTACTTTACTCCCCTCAGCACCGTTCTGGTGATGACATTTTAACTCGTCCCTGGCTTTTCCAGACTACTGTCTTCTGAACCAAACTCAAAAGTTCAGCCGAACTCGGTAGACTTACTGGAGATGAATCAAATGAGCTTCCGTCCCACAAGCTGTGTGGCATGGTAATTGGCTCTCCAGCTCAGGGGAATGATTTGGGAAGTGTCAGCATATTCCTGAGGTAGGAGTTGAAGCCAGGGTTTGGGCGATGTCACCGGGAGAGAATGCTTAGGGCTGTCTAATGCTGTGTGACATGGGATTACTGCAGAGAGCGGGGGCCTGGCCCAGGGGTTCCCTGATTCCTAGGGTTGAGCCGAGCAGAAGAACCCTTGAAGGAGATTGATAAGGCTGTTTAGAGAAGTGAGGAGAAAGTCAAGAGCGAGGAAGGATACAGGAGAGGAGAGAGGAGAGTTTTCAGCAGTAAAATGAGGGGTGTACAGTAGACAATGTCTTAGGTTGCTTTGAGGTCTGAATTCAATGTCTCTAAAGTCATCTTTACCCTTCTTGCCACCATCCCTGGGTATCTTATGACTTGTGTTTTGTCCCAAATTGCCTTCAGGAATTGTGTCCCAGCCCTCAGTTTATCATCGGTGGAGCCACACGCACAGACATTTGTCAAGGTGGTCTGGGTGAGTAACTGGACAGTCCTATTTGTTCTGGGGCAGGGCAGGTGTGTTTGTGTAATGAGTAACATCAGATGAAGCTGTTACACTTGACCGACGTAGTTACCTTTAAGGGGAAATAATTTGCCCTATTAAACGGCCATATTTATGCAATTAGGAACTGTCAAAATAGATGCTTTTAGAATTAGTAGAAAACAAAGACCCTGTCTTTCTAGCCAAGCTTTCTTTCACGGGGCCGGGATCCTAGGATGAAGAAGAACCTTCCCCTCTCAACCTTCACATTCCCTCCAATCTGGTGCAGTTAAGCTTTGGAAATAATTTATTTTGTTCGGTTTGGTAAGTTCTAGCCTCAGGTGTCAGAAACCCAGGTTCTCAGGCCTAGTGGATTAATGCTCTTGACCCCCAAGCCCTCCTGATCCCGGGTCTCATACTTGAACTGGGCAACACTGGCACTTTAGGGCTAGCAGGGCTCCGAATTGATTTCACCGCCATCCAGTGGCAGCTGCAAAATGCGGAACTAACGAAAGGAAAGCAAATGGGGAGACAAAGCCTACTTGGTGAAAATCACTAAAACAAACAGAATCTCAGCATCTGTACAGACCTCATAACCTTTATCTTTCGGGAGGGCCCCCCTTCCCCTTCCCTCCTCCCCTTCCCCCCTTGTTCTAGCCAGAAAAACGTTTTCACCCTGCTGGAAAACATTACGATTTTGAAAATCACAGGGCACTTTATTTTAAATGCTTCCAATGTTCTCTCCGCTAATGAGTACAACAAATACCCCCTGAGCCAGGGCTCACCGAGGCTGAGCACAGAGCAGAGAAAATGAGTCAGGGTGGTGCCATTCCTTCAGACCTCAGCCCTTTCTTGTCCTGGGTGAGTGTGGTGGGCCTTTTATTTCCCGAAAAACGATTCTCCTAATTCCCCGTGTGTCGTGCGGACGCGCAGCGCCCCATCTATGCTTTTAGCAGCTCCTTGTTAGCGCTGTTCTAACTTTGGACAAGGTATTTAATAAGTGTCCTTTAATTGATCGACTTGGATGGAGCTTCCTTTGAACAGTTTGAAGCAAGGAGAAAAGAGGGTTTCCGAAGAGAGGCCCGAGCGTTACCATGGTGAGTGTGCGTGGCCGATGGATGGGCCGGTGCTGCAAGTGTAGGAAATGAACCCAAACCAACTCTCAGAGTCCAGCTCCCACCAGGCCATGGCGCCGCCCTGAGGTGGTGGTTTTCTCTTTGTTGTTGTTCTAAAAAAAAATCAGTATCGTTATAACCTCTTTTTAAATTTATTTATTTATTAAAAAATGTTCACCCTGGCCTGTTTGGCTCAGTGGTTAGAGCGACAGCCTGTGGACCAAAGAGCCATGGGTTCGAATCCCGTCAAGGGCACCTACCTCGGTTGCAGGTTTGATCCCCTGCCTCAGTCAGGGTCATGTGGGGAGCAACGAATCAATGTGTCTCTCTCACATCAACGTTTCTCTCTTTCTCTCCCTTTTCTTCCTTCCACTCTCTGAAAATCAATGGGAAAATATCCTCGAGAGGATTAGTAACAACAGTAAAAGCATTCAACTACAGTTGCTATTCAACATTATATGAGTTTTAGGTGTTCAGCATAGTGGTCAGACATTTGTGTAACTTACAGAATGATCCCTGACATGTCCAGTACCGTCTGGCACCGTCCGTCGGTATCACAGTGTTATTGACAATGCGCCCTGTGCTGTGTTCCGAGCTGGTGGTTTTCAACGAACAGCAGGGGAAGGGCTGTTGAGTCCGACTTCCTGAGGGGGCCAGGCTCTTGGGACGGGCTCCAAGGGCCCGTCGACCAGAGGAGCCTGAGCAAGTACAAAGTGGGTGCCTCGGCATGCCAGGGTGCAAGCCCGTGGCTGGGTCCAACCACCTGCGTGGCTGTCGGATCTGAGCCAGGACCGGCTCTGACCCATGTGGGTTGTGGCGAGATTAGGAGGCGAGATTCCCCACCCAAGAAGAAGGCGGCGGCGGTGTTTGTCTAATCAGGGCGTGACATGGATCAGTGTTGGTTCGCAGCTTTGCTGGCTTTTCAGAGTGGAGTGCTGTGCAGTGGTTACAACAATGAGTGTTACGATTTTTTTTTTAATCCTCACCCAAGGACATTTTTCCATTTTTTGTTCAGATAGAGTGGGAGGAAGAGAGAGAGAGAGAGAAACATCGCCGTGAAAGGGACACATGGAGTGGCTGCCACCCGCACGACCCAACCAGGGCCGGGGACAAACTGCAACCGAGGTACATGCCCTTAGCGGGAACCAAACCCGGGTCTCTCTGGACCTCAGGCCGATGCTCCAACCGCTGAGCCAAACGGGCCAGGGCAGTATTGCTATTTTTTAACAGTTGACCTATATAATGAAAGGGACACCGTTTTTATGGAGTTTTATGCTACCATATTTTATTATTATTCTGAATACACACTGTTTAAAATGAAATTAACTGGAAGTTCACAGTGAGAATCTGCTCCATCGCTTGCTGCCCTGCGGCCACTTAAAAAATTCTTTCCAGCCCTGGCCGGTTTGGCTCAGCGGTTAGAGCGTCGGCCTGCGGTCCAGAGAGACCCGGGTTCGGTTCCCGCGAAGGGCACGTACCTCGGTTGTAGTTTGTCCCCACCCTGGTTGGGTCGTGCGGGTGGTAGCCACTCGATGTGTCCCTTTCACATCGATGTTTCTCTCTCTCTCTCTCCCCTTCCCACTAGATCTGAACAAAATATGGAAAAATGTCCTCAGGTGAGGATTAAAAAAAAAAAAATTATTTCCATGTTTTTATGCAGTCAAGCCAATCTAAATACACATTCTAATTTTTTAAATCCTTACCCAAGAATATGTTTTTAGTGATTTCAGAGAGAGAGGAGGGGGGTGGGGGGGAGGAAAATCGATCAGTTGCCTCTTGTACGTGCCCCGATGGGGATTGAACCCACAACCTTTCTGTGTACAGGATGACGCTCCAACCAACTGAGTCACCCGGCCAGGGACATATTCTAATTTTTATCCCTTTAAAAAAATGTTGTTATTGATATTTTTAGAGAGAGAGAGGAAGGGAGAGAGAGATAGAAACATCAGTGTGAGAGAGAAACATGGATCGGCTGCCTCGTCCACACCCCATAGGGGATTGAACCTGCAACTTGGGCATCTGCCCTGACCGGGAATCGAGCCAGCAACCTCTTGGTGCAGGGTCAATGCTAAGCTACTGAGCCACACCAGCTGGATTTTGTTGAGGATTTTAGCACCTATGTTTCTCAGGGATATTGACCTATAATTTTCTTTCTTTGTAGTGTCTTTATCACAAGTCATTGAATGGATATTTTTTGATGTAATCGTCCCCAAACCAAAGCACCCCTCGGGTCCCCAGGCCTGGCTCTCTTCCCCTGGCACACTGAGGGGCAGTGTCCCGAGCAACCCGGCTTTCCACCCTCTGTCTTCTTGGTAAAGCCCATATTCACCAGGTCTAGCAAGGGTCACATACACAGTGTCCCACTAGGGCCGCCCCATATGGTGGTGGAATAAATGATGTGTGACCCCCTGCAGGACACCCCTGTGGGGGCCCATTTCCAATGTGTGCTCATGGTTGGCACATCACTCAGGAAACTGCAGAGACCTCCCTGGTCCCTCGACTGCTGCTTCCAGCACATTCTGTCTCCCTTGCACACTGGCTCATGCGTGTCCCCAAACTCCTCGAGGCCTCTGTGGCCAGTGAAACAGACCCTGTCCTGTGCATGAAATGCACACGTCTCTGGCTCCGTGCAGCCCACACAGTAAGCCACACCGTTGATCCATCCACCTGCGGGGAGACACCAAGCCCGGTATCAGTCCTGCCTCTGGCTGCAAAACTGCATCCGGACTGGAAGCCACTGTAGGTGTAAATGGGCCTAAAGGATGTCACTGTCCAACCATACCAGACCCTGGTCTCTGAAAAATGAATGTCAACGCTTGCTGCTTGCTGCTTGCAGGAAGAGGGAGCAGATTTTCTTCTTGAACAAACGAGCAACAGAGCCTTCCAGAATCTAGACAGAGATGAGAGGGCTTTCTGAATAACAAATGCCCATTGTTTATCCTGACTTCTGATCTAGTGGTGGTTCATTTTCCACGCTGAGCGGGGTCAGCAGGGAGGTGAGATTTCCCGTGAACGGCGTGGGGAGCGCTGGGCTTTCTCTCTCCAGCCGCCTCCGCTCTCCCTGTCTTATTGTGTCTGCTCACCTCCTCTCCTCTCTGTCCCGACCTGCTTTCTCTCTTCACCCCTGTGACTGGACGCGTCCTCACCTTGGTTGCCGTCAGTGAATAGAGTTTCGTATTCTGTATTCTTGTTTTGAAAAGGGAACAAAGGGCCCATTTTACTCGTCTCTGAGGACGGCACTGACAGAAGGACTTAAATTCAGGTGACCTCTGTGTTCACGCTGCTTCTCCTGCATACGTCAGCATCCCCTCCGAGGGGCCCACCGCCCAGCCCCATGGGCGGCGCGCAGGCTCGGGCAGCGAGACTGCTGTCAGCATCTTTCAAAGCACTCTTCCAGAACCGTCTGATCTGGGGCCTCCTCCAAGGGCAGTGTGGAGTAGATCCGTTCACTAGGACTGAAGGTTACTCTGAGTGAGCAATCAGGGCACGTCGGAGCACGGACAGGACCAAACCCGCTGTTGGCATCTGGACGGCGCAGGGTCGCACCTCCGGGAAGCAGAAAGGCAGCAGATGACTGTTCTGTGCCGGCCAGTCATGTGGAGCGTTTGCTTTTGCTAACAGGGTCTTATCCAACCTTTGGGGTTCTCCTCCTTTGTGGCATCTCTTGTCCCTCTGTCTTATTCCTAGTGCTCAGTGTCCTCAGGGTCAACCCCTCTGCCACCCTGTCCTGTCTACTATGAGGAAAGGGCCTAGACAGCCTGGCCCCTTGGCCTTCACCTGCTGAGGCCACAGGGTCCAGGGAGCCGGGTAGTGTCTCTGGCCTCCGGGGCCACCACCTTATTTCTGCGGAGGTGCCGGGCCGTGCGGAGCCTCTCTCCA